GCTAAACGGGGCTGTGGCAATTGCCTCTAGAGGGCACCAGGTTGAGGAAACCAGCCTTAATTCATAACTTTCTTCCCCTTTCTCTGGTTTAATGGCTTCCTCCACCATTGTGTTTCCATTATTTTGTAGGTACCAATATATGAGAATAAGGAGGCAATATAGGAATTAGCAGGGAACAGAGCGAATGTGCATCTCAAATTTTATTTACACACACCTGAACTTTATGTTGTAGGATTTTGGTACAGAGGTGAGTTTTTGAGCACTCATCTGTGATGTTGTATAGGCATGCTGGCAGAGCTGTCTGGTCATAACTGGTGAGGACTATTTTTGGTTCTATAGTAGTCATACACCACACAGGCATGTTTGGTTTGATTCAATCAAATGATGATATATCTTAATTTTGTAGCATTAGCCGTGATGGGGACGTTGTTGTCCGTTATGTATGTAGAAACGTGCTACTTATTTGATGTCTAATCCCCAAGAACATTGGCAATCTATCTTCAGCAGTGTATCTCTTGATTTTCAGACTTGTGACATTCAAGCAGCATTTCCACCCTTTATCTTGGGTGTCATTCGTGTTGCCCTGTATTCCGGTTCCAAATGCCTTTTTAGGGCTGTAACTTAGATGGCCTAGCACACAGACTGCTAAACTTATACATCTCAGTTTTTGTGATGTGCTGAGCAGCAGGCCCTATTCTAAACTGCTAGAGGAGGTTCTGGTGAGAATAGGATTATGGGTGTGATGGGTTTCTCCATGGATTTCTGTTTGGAATTTGGATTCCCAGTACATTGCACCAGTGCCCCAAAACTGCTGGCAAACTCAGTGGAATCTGGAAGTTTTCAAAGAACCTAGGCGCTGTGGCTGGGGGAGAGAAGGAGGTGCAGTCCTTGAGCTAGTCCCAAGCATCTGCCCCCATAGGGTGGGTTTCTCCTCTGAACTTCAAAGAAAACATTTTTATATTGAAAGCCTTGAGGTGGCATGACCAATCATGATAGATGATCTTGAACGGAGCTTCCACCAAAGACGACACCACTCACCTCACTTTGCACCATAAATCAAAATACATTCAGCCAGATTTAGTGTGCATGAAAACTCAAATTTACACATGCAGATCTCATTCAAGCAAGGCATTTCCCATTGGTTTAAATACCAGTATGTGTTACCAGACGATATAGCTTAGATTTATTACCTAACATAAAAGTTGCAGTTCTGTAAGTTCCATGCATCCGGTTCCACAAAATGCAGTGGGTCAAGGCATATATTAACTGGGTGCAGGATTGCAACCACTCTATGTAGCCATAGAGGAGCCACAACTGTTACACTAGGCCATCTAAGTCAGCCTCCTTCTGCCCAAATATTTTCATTTCCAGTACTCGTTCAGCTATGTGAATAGGCAAATATAGTTTTTTTTTTGCTAGTCTGCATTTAAATGGAATTGTCTTTATAAAATATGGGAATTTAGCAAAAAGCATGAGAAGAGTTCAGAAAGACTGGGTAAATTACAATAATATCTCCCCCCTTTTTTACTTAAACTGTTAATGTTCTTTGTTGTGTTGTTTTTACTATGTTAAATGCCTTTTCTTTTTGTATTTATACTTTTTCTACATGCACTGCTCTTTTAGGTGTGTCCACATGTGATCATTCATATTTCAAACAGGTGGGAGGGTGGGCGGGTTGGGTAAGAGTTTTGTGTGTGTAAAGAACCTTTTATTTAGCAGACAGGTTTTAAACCAAGCAGCAAACTAAGTGCTTTTTTTTTAAAGTAGCTGAGTACAGTGAAAATATGTATTGCTTTATCTGTTTCCTTGCAAATAAATATTTTCCTAAAGAAAAGGCATCTCCTATCATTCTGCTGTTTATTTTCCTCCACATGTATTTACAGCAGTCACCTGCTTTAACCCAAACACCATGCTTCAATGCTTGGAGTTCTTCTAGCTTCCTTTTCATGCTGACAGCCTATTGTCCAGTGTTACCTCCAAATGGCAAGAGATCAAAAGCAGTAATGTGTCTCACAGTCATGGACTTGCCTTTTGCTTCATATAAAACACTGAACTAATCATTGTGTTTTGTTTACAAGATTTGTGGGGTATTGGGAGAGCTGGTAAAGCTGAAAAATGACTGCATTTCAGCCAATACTCAGTGTTGCATGCATTTATCTCAGGTATATTTGAGGGCCACCTTTGACCAGCGGATATCCACCCCCTTGCAGATAGATGTCCAGCAGGCCTAGGGCAGATCTAACGAAATGCCAATCCATCTGTGTCTAAAATCTTTGCATTGAGTGATGACTCTTTAAAACTGCATGTTTTATTTTGCACTAAAAGCAGGCAGGGGGTGGGGTGAAAATTAAAGGAGATTAATGCATAAATAAATGCTGCGTGAGAGAGGATTTAGGCCAGCATGGATGCTCTGACCTACCTCTCCTGAATATATTTTTATTGACTGCGGGGGGGGGGGGAGCAAGAGAGAAGGCAAATTTAGCAAATGGTGCAGGTTATATGCTAGATTAATAACCTACTTTTATTTTTAAAAATAAATTTATTGCAGGAAGGATTGTGTTTCTTAGAGCATTGATTTACTTAAGTTTTTTAAAACTTAGAACTTTTTTTTAAAGAATTCAAGAATATTAAAGCCAGCAAAACAAAAATACAAACATTTTGCTATATAAAAACTTGTGCTTTTTCTCTTTTTGTTTATTTTCTTACCAGTGGCAGAGGCCTAGGTACCTCAAGTACATCTGGAGTACAGTGGTGCCCCGCAAGACGAATGCCTCGCAAGACGGAAAACCCGCTAGACGAAAGGGTTTTCCGTTTTTGAGTTGCTTCGCAAGACGAATTTCCCTATGGGCTTGCTTCGCAAGACGAAAATGTCTTGCGAGTCTTGCCATTTTTTTCTTTTTTATATAATTTATAATTTTATAAGGTTCTTGTCATAATGCACAATCTCAATTTGATCACTGAAATCACCTGCTCATTATCTTAGAAGCTTGACTGGTCGGTCTCTCTCTCAAAGTAAATACATCGATACCAAGTAAATACATTGATATCAAAGAATAATATAAAGAAAGAAAAAAATAGAGAAGAAAAAATGCAAAGAAAAGTAGACAGTAAAAGAATAAAGAAAAGTATAATATTTTAATACAATAAACACTATTTTACAAAATAATAGTAATAATAATAGACTTCCATCACTCTCACAACACTTCCTTTCACATTTCATATTTTATCTGTATTTCAGTATTATTTTCATCTTAATATATTGATATGTATGTTTCCCCTTTTCCATTCATGAGGAAATTCTAGACAGCCAATTTTTTACATTAGAACCTTGTCTTTCTAAATAATCATTCAAGTACCTCTGTTCCTTCTTGACTGTATTCATTGGCTTTAGTTTTCTTATATCCATCAATTTGGCCAGTTCCAAATATTCACATAACCATTCCTCTTTGGTCTCTACTAAAAATCGAGCATTTAAATTAATAACCAGTTCCAAATCATCATCAATAATTCCCTTCAAAAAATCACTCATAAAGTCCTTTTGGTTCTAATGCAATAAATAACCAGTTGTTTCCCTGATCAGACCTTGCAGAAAGTTTGAATTATGAGGTAATTCCAAAATATATGCAATATTGTTCACAATCTGTAGAGTCTCCATGCAAGACACCATGCAGGTTCCAGTGTAATTTAGTCTCTATCCTATCTATTTTCTCACTTGGCTAAAAGAAAAGATGACTTAGAGCTCTGACAGGAGGTTACACTATGAGGACTTCAAGTTCCCTTCCATTACCATCATTCTGTGTGGATTGTATTGGTGGCTGGTTGAGTGCTTGTAATGTGGAATAGCGTTGTTGTTTTTTAGTCATTTAGTCGTGTCCGACTCTTCATGACCCCATGGACCAGAGCACGCCAGGCACTTCTGTCTTCCACTGCCTCTCGCAGTTTGGCCAAACTCATGCTGGTAGCTTCGAGAACACTATCCAACCATCTCATCCTCTGTCGTCCCCTTCTCCTTGTGCCCTCCATCTTTCCCAACATCAGGGTCTTTTCTAGGGAGTCTTCTCTTCTCAAGAGGTGGCCAAAGTATTGGAGCCTCAGCTTCACGATCTGTCCTTCCAGGGAGCACTCAGGGCTGATTTCCTTAAGAATGGATAGGTTTGATCTTCTTGCAGTCCATGGGACTCTCAAGAGTCTCCTCCAGCAATAGTAGCTTCAGTTAAAAATGGATTTAGGTCCACCACTCTGCCTCTGACAGCCATGCATCCCCAAGGCAGGGGTGAAGCTGGAACTAGCCAGAGGGTGGGATACCAGATCTCATCAAGACTGCCTAAATAACTTTGCTTCTCATCATGCCTATGTGCATTAGTGCTACTGAGCTTTTGCTGAAAGGGATGGTTGCTCCCAGCAGGTACACATGAAGGTCCATTGACACTGCTATGGATTACACACACACACACACACACACACACACACACATTGGTGTTGTACTCAGTGGTGATTCTGCACTGGTGGAAAGAGTGAAGGGCTATGGGTTTGCTAATAGGCTATCTTCCCGCCCCTGCCGGCCTCAAGCGAATCTAATGGCTTAAGTAAGCTCTTGTTCCAGCAGGAAAGTTGCTTCTGGGCTTAATAACGCGTGATGGTTTCACCCGAAGCTGCCCCTTGCTGGAGGACCGCAGGCAACATATACTCCGCTGTCCAAAATCTTCAGCAAGCGCTTTCTCACGCTCTTTATTCCTGCTACCTAACGGGCTCTGAACACCCTTCACTTTCCACTGCGCTGATGCTTCTAGTTTTCTCCCCCCCCCCCGAGAAGGACTGCTAAATAATAAAAATTAAAAAGCACTCCACCTCGTCCTAACACACCGGAGACGTCCACGCAACTTATGCCCCTCCATCCCTCCAGTCCAAACCCTTCTGGATGCGGCACAAAACGGGGCGTCCGCCTGTAGCTCCGCCCCAACTCTCTCTCCCACCCCCCCACCCCCATCCGGCACGCACACACAAAACAGAGGAGTCTGGCCAGGTTTTAAGGTGCAGCTGCTCCTGCTGTCCTTTTCGAGCGGGCGTGGCGGGAGGAGCAGCAGGAGGGGAGGAGGCTCTGATTGGCCAGAGCGGAGGCGGGAGGTAGGGAGTTTCCCACAATGCCCCGCTGCAGCCAGTGCGGCCGCCGATGGATGCTGCGGGAAGGTGCTGCCATTTGCAGCCGCCTGGACCAGTGGCTCGCTGAGGGGAGCCCCGCTCCGGCAGAAGCAGAGGCAGGCAGGGAGGGAAGCACCCTTCTCACCCCAGTCCCCGGCAGCCCTTGACCGCGAAACTCCCCTCGCCTTCTCCTCCGCTTTCCTCGCGGGTCGCTGTCCGTTCAGCACCGCGATGAACCCGCCTTCCACAGCCGGCGAGGAGAAGGGGGCTGCGGGAGGCAGCAGCAACGCTTGCCGGGGAGCTGAAGGTGGCGGGGACCCTAGGAGTGCAGCCGCGGGAACAGAGGACCCGGAAGAGCCCGCACTAACCGCTCAGAAGGAAGAATCCTTGGAAGAGAAGCTGAAGAGTTTAACCTTCAGGAAACAGGTGTCCTACAGGTGGGTGAAGGAGGCAAAGCAGGAGTGTCATTCCGGGTGCGCTTTCTCCCACGTGAGAAGGGGCATACACGTGTGTCTGTGGCTGAGTCTCCTTGAGCCTCATAATGTACCCATCGTCAGAAGTTCCCTAGGACAGAGTGATAGGGAAAGTCTTGTCTAGCTCCAATCTTCCAAGTTTCCCTTGTAATCTCTCAGGGAGATAGATACCTTAAGTGCAAGTGAATTTAGTGTATACTTGTCATTACTTAATGTAGACGAGGTCATTGCCCTTAGCTCACTTTAACCCCCGGCCCCACTGTTCCTTCGATCTGGGTGGTAGGTTTCACGCCCAGTTTGGAAATTCTCATCTACCTGGCTGTGAACGTGGGACCAGTGAGGGGCTATTTACTTCAGTTGTGCTAATTCAGAGTTTTAACGGCATGATTTTATGCAGAGGGAAGCTTCAAGATGATAGATTTCAACCTTGCAATAAGTCAGGACCTACTGCTGTAACGTTCTTGTAGGAGAGGATAAAAAGCTTTGAGGATTCTGAGGTTGTTTTGGAGGGATACGGTTTCATGAGGTTTTACCCCCCCTTTCCCCCCTCCTCTGGAAGCTACATGGTATGTGGGCAGCCTTGCCTGGAGAGAGATAATCTTACGGTTGAAATCAGTGCACCAGGAATTCTGTGTCGCGCATAATGTGTGTTTCTGTGTCAGGTCAGTTTATGCACACACGGCAGCAAAACAGCTGCTGCCCCAAATGTTGCATTATTTTTTTCCAGAGCTGGGGGTGGGGGGGAAGGCAACTGATGTATTTGTATTGGCACTTAGAGTGGTACCGCAAAGGACTTCACATTCCTACATGTAGACCTAATCTTTGTTGACAGCATTATATGTTAGACATTGATAGCATCATGTATGTGATACCGTAGCAATTCCCTTTGGGATTACGTGTGTGAGAAAATATTATAAAATCTATAGCTGCGTCTGTATATATTAGGAGAAAAGTGATATATAAGGTAGCTGCTAAAGAGTTAACGTTGTGCAGTAAGGCCAATTTGTTATGCTCGAATGTATGTGTAGGTAGCACTGTAACAGCAGGATGTGGGAGTCACGCTGCCAGAATAATGTTGCAAGCAATGCCAGGGATTAGGGTGAGGGTAGCATCATAATTGTCTACTGGTTTCCCCCCTCCTCTAACCAATCTGGCTTGTGCTAAAAAAGAAATCCTGATCTTGTTTACAATCCCTCTCCAAACAGACAGCAGTGCCTCAGAAAAGATGGTGAGGGTTTAAAAAGGTCTGTTTGCGATCAGGAACTTCAGGATTATCCAGAGTGGGTTCAGAAGTACTGTCTGCCAGGGAAGTGGAGTTATTCTGGAAGTTTTTGATCCCCAGTTTAAAAAATAGAATCAATTAAAAGAAGACAACTGAATCTACCTGTTGCTTTATTGGTGTGGGTGGGTGGGTGGGGGGGATGAAAATGTTTCCTTGGAAAAGCAACAGAGAACAATTTTGGGTAGCCTGTCCAAGGCTTCAGGAATCTTTTGAAGACGAAATCCTCACATCAGTTATGAACCATTATGTAAGTGTTAGTATTTGCCCAGCTGTGTGGATGGTTACATTGTGTGCCTACTTCTTTTACTTTAATGTAGCTGTGTTTTTCATTTCATTTTAAAAAAATAATAAAATATTGTTACGATTCTGCCAAACATACTTCAGCAAATGGTAAAAGGAGGAAAAGACAAACACTGTATTGCTGATGCTTATTAACATTCTGGAAGTTAACACAAAAATCCAAACTACAATATAGACATACTTTAAGGAAAAGAAAAGAGAAAAAAGCCTATTGCACCCCAGATACATTCTGTTTCTCAAGGTTAACACAACCGTCAGAGTGTGATAAAGAAAAAATATGTTTTATAACTTTAAGGGTTTCTAGATTTTAGCTTACATAATAGGTATTGGTTAAAATTAAATTATCTCCAATAGTGCTACCATAAGAGTATTATGTTGAGATTTGTCATTCCAATATTTTATAAACTCATACCAAGATTCTAATACATTTCTTTGGGATTTTGCTACATCTTTCCATAATCTTTGAGCACCTATGATCTTATGTATAAGCACCCTCTGCCGAACAGCTATTTCCCATTTCTTGATTAACCCCAGCAACTAATATCCAAGTTGCCAGCGAAATATTTTCCATCACTTCCTCATTTTCCTTCAGGACTATTTCTTTTACCTTGCCCAAAATAAAAATCACGCCATCTCATTTTAATTTGTAAGTTGTGATATGTTTAATCTGGCCCTCTGAAACCTGAAGTTAGAGACAAGCTAAATTAAAGTTTTTGGTAAATGTTTGGCTCTACTTTTATGATTTCCCCTGCAGTCTTCTCAAACAAGTCTCTAGGTCCCAGCTTCAATATCTGAGCAATTTTGTCTAAGCGTTAGCTTTGGTTTATGCTATGGGGTTAACTCTGTGAAATATCGGTATCTTGTGTAAATTATGACATGAGCCTCAGGCTCCAGTGCTGTATGACAGTAAATGCTTGTGTAAGGACACGGCCAGTTATTTTGAGAAAAGGTCTCTTAGCAATTTCTAATTAAAAATAACCGAAATTAGTTCAAGAGTGAGATAAAGGCCCCTGAATAACTTGGGGCATCACACTCTATGAATGTTTCACTTTCAGCATCATGGTGATCCTACCAAATATGCCATAGAGATGAGTTGAGTGAACACAGATGGTTGGCTGGCATCCATCTGTCTCGGGAGACAATGGAGGAGTGTGCCTTTGGGGGTGAAGTCAAGTTGTCAGAAGGTTGCAGCGCCTGCTGTGGCTGTTGTAGAGACTGATACAGGAGAGACATGTTTGGTTGCAGCTGGGGCAGATGAAGGTGTCTGGTTTTGCTGTTACAAGTGCACCATGGTGTTTCTTCTCTCTACACTCCTCCCAGCAGTCATTCCTCCTCTGGTCACTGCCATGGATGCATGACCTGTCTGTCTCCCGGCACCGCAGTGATATGCAAGGGATTCCTACACGGCAGGGTTGATGTTGCCAGCCTTCATGTCATATTTGCAGACTTCTTTGCAACGCGGAGCTGGTCTGCCAACGTGTCTGGTGCCTGAAGCCAACTCCCTGTAGAGAGCATCCTGGGGAATACAGACAAACATAAGCATAAAGCTTAAACACACCCAGGGATTCTCTGGGCATCTAAATATGCTGTGCTAATTTCAAAGGAGAAGAGGAATTCAGAAACCTTGCACATTTTGTAAACGAGTGCAAGTATGTGATAGTTTCAATGCAATAAATGGAATGATGCACATAAAATTAGGTGCCTGGTTTGGATGGATTGCTATTTTTCACTGGGGTAGCTCAAGGAATATGCAAGTTCTGCTCCCTTTCATCTGGTCCTTTCTGAACACAACTCTGTGTTCAGTTGCCGAAAGAATTTTGTGTTCTGGGTTAGATAAATCAGGTGTTGGAAACTGCAGGCCCAGGGACCAAAATGTGGTCTTCTAACCCTCCTTATCTGGCCATCAGGACTCTCCCCAGACAGACACTTCCTCACATCTCTACACTTCCTACTAGCTTTGCTTCACACCCTTATTGAAGGTCTTCGACTGGCTGGAATGTGTTCCTGAACTCAGATAATATCTCTTGCTTCCTTGGATAGAGAGAGGGTGTAGAAACTAGCCTATTGCATAAGGGTAAATTTACTTTCATTGATCCACCTACCTTTGCCTCTGGTCCCACCCAACACTTGTGTGTGGCCTCCGGAAGATTGCCCAGAAGGGAATGTGGCCCCTGAGCTGAGAAAGGCTATCCACCCCTGAGATAACGGAGCCTTGCCTAGCCAATGCTGGCAGAATAACTTTTTGATTATCTCACCTCCCGTGTAGGTGAAATGTAGCTAGATGAAATGAGAGGAGATTTCCAAGTTTGTGTTGACTAGTCATTTTGGCCAGCTTCTGCACCTGCTGGAGGTACAAGGATGGGATTTCAAAGCTGTAAGCTTGTGTGTGGAGATGGTTTTCAAACAGCCTGCTTTCGAACGCTTGCAGAGAGAGATCTGTTGCTTTCTGATAAGTAGCATCAGCAGACCACTTGACACACATGGACTGGCTCTTTTGACTTTGTAAACAAGAGATGACAGCCTAGCTGATGAGTGCAAAACCTGGAGTGATTCATTCCCCGCTGACCTTAGTCAGTGACGCAAAACAATACATTCAATGGCCACAACCATCCCTGAAACATTTCTGTTGCCGCTCGCTGTCTGCCTGCTCCCCTTTTCCAACAGTTTTGAAACATGGAAGTTAATGCCAGGCTTCCTAGCAGCGGCCTGCAGCAGTCAGAGATGGCGAGTTCTACAGGTGGGTTTGATAATGATCCAGGTAGAAGTGCCTAATGCAGAACCACAGGCAATTAGTTGATTTCTGCATTTGCATCAGTGGGGCTGGAGAGTGTAGACTGCTGCACGCATTTTATTGAATTTTGCTTTTCTATCTTTAATAGATAAAAAATATTAATGAACACCTACCACCCTCTGATGCTATGAAATGTATTGGGGTGTGTGTGTGTTCCTGGAACTTTCTTCATTTCAGAGGTGGCTATGCTTTTCTGCACTCCTGGGGAGTAAAAACCCAATTGGCTTTTTGCTCAGCTTGTGCGTAAGTGAAGCTCTGCTAAGTCAGGCTAATGGATCATCAAGACCAGTAGCACCATCAGGGTAGGGCTCTGGGAGAGGTTTTCAGACTCCCAATCTGTAGAAAAAGCAGAAGAGCTTGAAACAAAGCCAATTTACCACATTTTGAAGCATGGGAAAGAATATACATTGTCAGAAAAGCATTGTCCAACTGGACTGCTGAAATAGTCTGGGATCCTGTTTTCAGGAATGGGTGACAAGCCACACCCTCTGTAGCTACAACCTTCCTCTCCAGGTCACAACCCTCACTGGACCTGCCTTGCAGCCTCCTTGGGTGCTTTGCCTGTCCAGAATGTATCATTGAGCTCCAATT